CTTCCTGTAGTCAGCCGCTGGTCAGTTTCAGCAGCGGCTGAATCTGGACGCCAGTTCCGACTTAAGTACAAATTCGACTTAAGTACAAACCTACAGTCCCTATCTTGTACGTAACCCGGGGACTGCCTGTAAATGTAAATGAAGTAAAGAACCAACTCTGTCAGGTAACTTCAACCACCTTATGAAATACTTATATTCCTGTTTCTGATGCTACGGGACAACAAAAAGCCAGGTGGCCCCAGGGCGGGAGTGATAAGGGGCGCCCTGATGGTAAGGTGGGTGGGGTGGGCTCCTGTGTGGCCTAGGGGATAGGGTGCTGGCCTGGGGAGGACAGGGTTGTAGATTCAAGTCCTACCTCCTCTGGGCGCAGACAGCCAAAAGCCAGGGGCACCCCAACAGTAAGGTGGTGGGGCGGGTTCCCACGTGGCCTAGGGCACTCCCATGGGGAGGATAGGAACTTCAGACTGCAAGTTCCTACTTGCAGTTTGAAGAAACAGTTAACATTGATAAGCCAAAAATCACAACCAGCTTCCTTTAAATATATGTATATTCCATTTCCACATGGCTTCTGCAGTATTCTTGTATTATTCAAAGACCGATTTAAAATAGTTTCTATATAAAACAGCTACACTTCAGCTTGTAAAATTTTGAAACTGCAAATCCTATGTACAGTAACTGTTCAGGTATTAGCTGACCAAAGTCTGACAAAATCTTGGGTACACTTTCTTTTCCTAGTGTCAACAGAGTGCATTTTGCTCCCAGTTCCTCTCTACTCTATATATTGTCTTGGAAGCAGAGTAGTTTGCTCACAATCTCCCTAAAAGACATCCAGCAGGAGACTGAGTTAAGGATCTTCCTTACTGGCAAACTTTCTAAAGATTCACACTGAGAAAGGGAACTGTGAAATAAATCACAGTGGAATAAGGGCTTTACTAGGAATCTGATGGGGTAGTATGGGATTTGGGCATATAAATGGGAGAAGGCAGGGAATGCTACTACTTTACTTTGAAGGTGCAAGACTTGGGCTTGCCTTCAATGGAATTATGGTATTTAAAGTCTCCTCCTCTAAGAGTTGGAGTTTCTGTGTAGCACTTTGGGGATCAGACTTAGTTACAATTGATTCAGAAAGAAAAATGTGGGAGCTCGCAAGGCACAGAATTGTATTTTTTCAATGTATGTCTGGAATCTTCTCAGAGAGGGACTTGCACAGAATTTGAACCTTTTCTCCTCTCTGTCACTAGTAATGTGGATAGATCAAGCGCTCAGAAGACCCAAAAGGGAAAGGGAGAGACTTTATTCCTGCTATTGAACAAATGCACTCAAAAAATGGAATCAGAATGAACAGTTCAACATCTACACAGAACAAATGTGCCACTGATTGCGTCTTGGTAGACATTTTGAGCCATCAAATAATCAGTCTTTGAACAAACACAAAGCTTTTCCCTTTCCATATTCAAAAAATGTAGCAATGTGTATGGGATTTGGGCTCTCACTGATAAAAAGCAAGAGCAACTGTTCATCTTGATTGTATTAAAGGAACAATTTGTGGGACAGATTGTGCTTGTTGGCTAAGGTCCTGTTTTGTCAACCATGAATTTATCATGCATCATCTTCAGTACTGAAATATATATAGTAATATGTGCTCCAGAAAACCTGCCAATATAAGCACTTTTTAGGAATGGACCTCTTGTTACTGGGCATGTGCTGAAGGTCCGTGTGTGTTGTTGCAGACTCTCCCCACTCCTGAAATAACTAAGAATGAGGAACATCCATTAACCCCAGTAACTGGAGACTTTATTAAAAGTTATTAATTGAAAGAAAAATAGTGTGGAATGGATTTATTAAGAGTCAGTGTATATATATTACTGAGAATTCAAAATTGCCAGAAGTAAATAAGTATTCCAATTCTAACTGGGTGAAATTTTAAAGTGGCTGACAGGGTAAAAATTGACTTTGTGAAAATTCAGACAATACAAAACCTTTATTTGACCATAATTAAATAGACACTAAGCTTTTCAATAAATTGTACAGCATTGTAAATTACTTTATTAAAATAAATCAATAAGCACTGATTTAATGGTTAAACCACACTGAAGAGTGTGCAGAGTGTCTACATACTAGGCAGAAAGGCAGCTAAAAAAAGCCTTCACTGCTAGATTTGTCAAAAATGGAGTGATGTTAGTGAACATGTAGACATATGGACAACACTGAGCATGTACTTTCAAGTTTTTCCCAGCACTTTATATTAAATAAGGCAGTAATTACAAAGCATAGCAGCATACCATTGCAATTGATTCCAACCCTGATATTCCTGTTAGCAGATTTGACCACTGCAATATATGTGAAAATAATCATGTGGAGTTGCACTTTAATTCTTTATTGTGACAAATGAGTAAGACTCTAGATTCCACTGGAAAAATAAAGACATGACTTCTCAGAGAGGTATCCAAATAAAAAAAACCCAACACTTTTAGCTGGTGGAGGTATTTGGGATATCTTGTGCATCTGCTAAATGAAGCTTTTGTCTGGAACAAAGAGTTAAGAAATTGTTCACTTATAACAACACTTAAGAAGTAACTATCTTATCTATTACAATGGTATTTAATATTTATAGAGGGTACCAGTTTTGAGATTTAAAAACAAAATATCACATGTATAGTCCTATGTGGAAATGTCAGTACACACTGGATGCAATTATAAACAAAGCCAAAGCTGCATGCCAGTATAGAAAAAAGCATCATAAGTAGTTTTCTCAGTACTAAGCACATTATCACCAATGTAACAAATTAATCCTCTGTATTAGTACAATTATAACATAGCCTGATGCAAATAGTTTTAATAAAATGCAAATAGTAAAAATGAAATACATATTATTCTTGCATAAAAAGGTTTAAATTTAGAGACTATTAACAAAGCTTAAATGAGAAGACTGAAAGAATAGTGTGAAGGTATCTAGAAGGGCACAGTGCCTTTAAATGTATTAAATTTTCTTAGGATACAGACCATTCACTATTAATCTGAGGACATATGAAATCCTCATTAGAATTCTATCCTTATATTTAAAGGTGCGAACTCAGATTAGTTTCTTGTATAACTAGAGCCCAATGAGGCACAGACACTTAAAACCACTTTTTTTTTATATGGGTGGGAATGGGTATGCCACGAATTTCTGGAAATGCTGTAAGATAGTACAACATATTATAGCAGGGACTGGTTTCACTTAGCATCAGAGGGGCTGTGTCTAGACTACATCCTTGTGTCAGCAGAGAGATGTAAATGAAGCCAGGATTTAAATATCCTGCACTTCATTTGCATAATCACGTAATGGCGCTCTTTTGAAAAAGCGCCCTTTTGAAATTGAAACCACAGTCTAGAAGTGGTTTTTGAAAACAGGGCGATATTCCAAAGACCCTGTAAACCTGTTTTAAAAAAAAAAAAAGTTTACAAGATTTTTCAAAAACTGTCTAGACTGCGGTTTCAATTTCAAAATGGCGCTTTATCAAAAGAGTGCCATTACATGATTATGCACTTTCGAAGTGCTTCATTTACATCCCTCTGCCGACAGAGGGATGTAGTCTAGACGTAGCCTAAGGTTGCAGAATCGTTTCCAGCAAGTCCTACTCAAATTCCAACACATACAACTTTGGGACTGAAATATTTCACACTTGGCCTCTGGTTTGCTACAATATGTTGGAAAGTTCTAATCTATCATTTACTTACATTGCCCTTATTACTGCAGTATCTAAGTACTTTATATTCAAGGATACATTTATGATCACAAGACTGTGCGAGACAGAGGAACGTTATCATTCCTATTTTACAGATAGGGAAGTTAGGTACTGAGAGTTAAAGGCTACATCTACACTACGAGTTCTCAGCAAAAAAATATGCTAATGAGGTACTCATTTGCATGAGTTCTGCCAATCCGTTTTTACGCTACGGGTTTTTGTGCAAAAACAAGCAGTGTGAATGTTTCCTTTTTCAGCAAAAATACTGATCTCGAGGAAAAAGGATATCTCCTTTTTTGGGGCATAAGGATCTTGCGGAAAAAGGGGTTTTTGTGCAAAAAGGAAACGTCCACGCTACTTGTTTTTGCGCAAAAACCCCTAGCGCAAAAACAGATCCACAGAAATTATGCAAACGAGATCATGACTATGCAAATGAGTCCCTCATTAGCCTACTGTTGCTGAGAACTCGTAGTGTAGATGTAGCCGAAGTGACTTTCACAGAGGAAGTAAATAGAAGAGAAGGGAATTAAACTGTGTTTCATGTCCCAGCCCGGTGCCCTAACCACTGGGCCATCCTTCTGCAATGGTTAGGAGGCATAAAAGAATGGAAGTGACAACTTAAATAATGTACACATAAAAATGTAAGTTATTCTGCTGTTTATTTGCAATTCTTATGCTTAGCCATTTAATGGTAATGCTGCAGTTTTTTTGTATTTTGCATATTTCAGTCATCTATGTTCTAAGTTTTCTACTTTGACAATGGACCTAAAGTGGTGTGGGAAGTGTAGTCAGTCTGGTTTTTTTTCCCTTTAGCATCAGCAGCATAGAATTCTGCTCCTGAACACTTTAGGAGACATAGTACTAGGCATAGTTGTTCCAGAATTTCTACCTGAAGTTCTATGGGTTTGCACTCAACTGACTTAAACTATCTTGTCTCAACATTTACAGTCTAAAACTTGATACTTCAACTATGGCAACTTTAGATATGTCTGATATACCTTCTTCTTCCAAAGTGTAAACAAATAGTTAATGAATACATCTCTAAAGAAATAGCCTACACACAAAGCTTTGTGTAGCTCTATCTATAGCAACCTACAGTTTGAGTGTTATAGGAAAGCCATCTATTAGCTAGAGGGATCTAAAATCATAATATACTACAGCCATTAATTTAAAAAAGGAGCATTGTTAAAATCCTTTGAATTCTCCTGAGCTACAGAGAGCCTGTGAAATCAATTTTTTGGAAATTTAATAGTATAATTTTGGTTTTGATCTACTTTTTATTACAAAAATTTTTACCTGAAACGACATTTAAATTAAAGGATACATAGAAGAATTCAGTTCTTCCAGCTGCAATATAAATGGAAAGTATCAGAAAAAAACACTGTAGTTATAATTAATCAAGCAAACATATTAATACAATTATAAATTTACAAGTTCAAATTTAGGTCTGTTGCAAAAAATTAGATAAACTCTTCTTGAGGGTACTGGAAACGTAAAAGCTAGTGTAGCTCTATACTAGAAAGTTTTATGAAATTAGGCTTTTTGGATATTTAACAGTTTTCCTGTTCTCAAAGAAGGCACTAGAGAAAGAAAAGACTGATACATTTAGAATATATAGTCCAGATTATTCTCTCTCTAGTATCTGTTAGGTGTGGCAAAGTATAGAGGAGAAGAACATAGGGGAGATGATTCAACTCCCTGATGCTCAGGTTGGCTCTCCATCAGTCAAAGCTTTGATACAGATTGCAGGACTTTAAAAGCAGCTCTAAACTGCACCAACTAGTATTGGTGCTACAAGGAGTAGTCTGAATAAGAGAGATGGACAAGGCACTTGTATTTCCCCAAAATCAATGCTGAGGAAGCAGAATCATGGGGAGATATGGGAACTATCTTGACTCATTTCTCATGTTTTTTTCTCAACACATTAAACTCTAAATTCCAAAGACAAGAGGGTCTCCAAGTTGTATAGAATGAATAACACGACTGTATCCTGTTCTTGAACCCAGATCTAGTTCTGTAAGCAACTTCAAGCAGCAGACTTTCTGTCTTCAATATACTTACATCTGATAGTAGCCTATCCAAATTGGAATCACTGGCAAGTTTTCTTTTATCTTCAGGAAGTTCTTCCAATTCCCCATAGAGTTCCAAATTCAAGCGAGCTAACTTCTCCTGCATCCCCCGCACATGTTCCATCTGTTCTATGGAACACTCATTTCCTGAAAAAAAAACCAGGTTGTAAAGCTGTTATGTAAGAGTCTGGCAATTAGGTAAGGAGAAACACCTAAGCACATACATCTTAAATGGATTTTCATAGTAGGGAGAAAAAACAGGCAAAGATCAGATAAACAAATCCAATTACCTTCCATCGGACTAGTTTTCTTTCCATGTTTATTACTGTAACTTTTTAAATAAGAACTTTTGTTGCTGCATTTAATCCTGTACTTAGGTCATGCTGAATTTGTGATATCAGTCACTTCAAAGGCTAACATTTTAAACAGGGCAGGTGTTCTCACCCTGCTCTGAATGAAGGACTGCATGTTGGATACAGTCCACCTCTGCCAAACTCTAGATGTGGCCTTATTTTTCACTTGGGCCATGTCCCCACTTAGCAGAGGATCGAGACTCTAGCGATTGATCTTCTGGGGTTCAATTTAATGGGTTTTTTAAAGACTCACTAAATAGGAAGCTTGAGGGCACCCCTGTAGGCGCCAGTACTCCTCACTGTTATGAGGAGTAGGGGAAGACGACAGGAACATTTCTCCCATTGACTTCCTGCTGTGGAGACAATGTCAACCTCAGCTTAATGTCTGGTGACTCCAGCTACATAAATAATGTAGCTGGAGTTGCACACCTTAAGCCGAACTTCTGAGTGTAGTGTAGACCTGGCCAAAGTGTCATCAGACTAATCTTGGCTGTTCCTAAGGTTCCTTCTCCAAAACCTGTCTCTCAGACATGCTTGAATACCTCCTATTTAACCAGACTGGAGCAGGGTGGATTGATTTAAATTAGGGATGTTGGTGTATAGTCATGTAAATGATTAACCAATAAGCCTGGGTTAATTGGTTAATCCAAATGGCTACACACACTCCCACCCTCGCTGCCAATTTATCAAAGGCAGTGTGTGGGGAGGAAGAGATAGAATCAGGCTTTTAACCTGGCTCCTCCAGAGCACTGGATCCCACAGAGCTGCCTGCCCCCCCACCCCAGTGCTGCTACCTCTGATAGAGAGACAGTAGCCTGAGGTTGGCAGGCAGGAGCTGGTACACATGGGAAATTGGCTTTCAAGTCAGCTCTCTGTGAGTCTCGGCTCCCATGGAGCCACCTGACATCCCCTCCCCCACCTTGCTGCCTCCCACAGAGGCAGCAAGGGGAGGAGGGGAAGGCAGGAGCCAGTGCTCAGAGACAGCTATCTTAAAAAGTGTACCACCTTAGAGTAGAGGCAGTAGCACAGAGGGAGAGAAGACAGGTGGGATGCCAGCACAGCCCTTGTCCACAGGGGGACCTTGGGCCCCCTGCAGACATAGGCTGCTCCGAGGGATGGCATAAGCGAGGAAGTATGCATAACCTATGCTTGGATTCTAGAAGCTAACCAATTATCAACCCATTTTTCCTATCCTCTCTTGACCAGGTAATATAGCATCACACTTCAAAAAACAGTTACAGATAAAGTTCTGTTCGGAAGCTTTGTTTCTGGCAAAATGTAAATCTGGCAAAAATAAAATTTAGTCCTTACTGCATAAGACACAATTTTAAACTTTGTAATTTTAATTAAATACTAACAGAATTGCAGCTTGAATTTGTTTCCTAGTTTGGAATGTGTTACTTCATTTCATAGTGGTATCTTATTTCTTGGTTATATTTATACTGTCTAACATAAGCAAAGTAGTTGTAAACTTGGTGTTTTAAATCTACAAGCCAAGAAACGGATTTGTGACACCCAGGATAACTAGAACCTTCTTAGCACACAAGCACTACAAAAAGGGACTTTATCTGAAACAGGGTATGCTGGATTAAAGAATTTTCCGGGCCAGGGAGGGCACTGCAGGATCTGGGCATGAGGAGGTTGGTGCCCACTACCAGGGGTATACATGGCTTCCCACTGCTCCCAAGCACTACCCCTGCCACTGTGGGGAAAAGCCTCAGAAATAGCATGTTGCACACCCCCACAATTGAGGGGGAGGGGAAGTGGCAGCATGCAGAACCACTTCCTCCTCCCTCTGCCAGGGTCCATATCATGGGTGCTCCTGGATTAGGAATTCACATGGTGGTTCATGTGTATCTTATTGCTTTTACAGATATAACTGGGCAAAGAAAATCTACATATTTACCAAATGCTTGAAGTTTGCCGGAGTGGAAATCATTCAGAAGGCTCAAAAGTCCCCTCTCCATCTCTTGAACATCTGACACGTCTGTGAGAAAAGAGTGCTGTATTGGAGCTGCCTGCGCCGCCCCTTTTCCTTCCCCTCCTGGAGGTTTGGCTTTTTCTTTTATTCCTCTGAGGAAATGAAAGACATCTAATTTTACAGAACAGACTG